GGACCAGCACGCGTGCATGCGCGCGCACATACACACACGCGCACATACACACACGCACACACACACGCACACACACACGAGATAAATAGGTTAACTTCCAGTCACAATTTATTTATAGTCGTTATTAACATTACACCTTGGTCTATCTGGCCTTTTATTGTTCTTTGCCTAATTTTTGAAAAAAAAATCTATATGTGAAGTGAACAAGTTTATGCAAAGTCAATATTCAGAACTGTCTCTTGCCAGGTGTGGTGATTCATGCCTCTAATCCTAGCTTACCCAGGAAGCTGAGATCTGAGGATCCAGGTCTGAAGCCAGCCCCAGCAGGAAAGTCCTTGAAACTCTTACCTCCAGTTAACCACCAAAAAGCCTGAAGAAGAGCTGTGGCTCAAGTGGTACAATACTAGGCTTGAGCTGAATAACTGAGACAGTATGGAGGCTCTCAATTCAAGCTCCAGGATTGGCACACACATGCGCGCGCGCACACACACACATACACACACACACAGACACTGAATTTCACAGGTCAATTTTCAACAAGACCAATTGCATCAAGTGTAATAAAATCACTGATGGTTTCAAAGATCTAACTTGTGGTTCACATTTTAAAAGTCAGACATTCACTTTATGGAGCTGCCTGTCAAATTAAATTTTATTTGATCTGTTACCACTTTATACAGTTGGTTGTTACAGGTCGACATGCATGTTATTAAAACATAAAACTTATTCCCTAGCAAGAAACATAACCATGAATGGTCAGTTTCTCTTGTTTTTTCTTCCCCTAATTTCAGGACTCCCAAGAAAGCAGGGATTAACTGAAATTATACAGGAATGAGATGCCTATAGAGGGAAAGTAATGCTCTATTTTTGCGATAGTTCAATGTTGGCACTTTTTGGGCCCCCTCTCCCCTAACTCCCCTGTGCATGGGAGGAAGAGGAAGTAGATTTTTGGCTTTACCACGACCAACTTCTCTATTGTTGTTAATTATAAGGTGATGTTCAGAGGGTAGGTACGTGAGTCAGGCAGAGGACATTTCTTTGTGGGCACTGTCACCCCTTCCCTCACTCTCTCCCAGTGTTTCCCTCCTGTCCTCACCCTCAGGTTGTATAGCTCATTTTCAACATAGTGTCCAGTGAGCGCCAAGGCGGCGTTTGTCTACCCTTGGGCATCATGGTTCATTTGCTGACCCAAGGCCTTAGAGAAGGGGTTCTAAGGAACCTTACGTCCCCATGGATGCTGAATAAAAATTAGTAATCACTCTGTAGTGTGGGACACCTCAGACACCACTTTGTTTTGTGTGCTGACTTTCCAAAAAGAACTGAAAGTGTGTAAGTTTTTCAGAGAGAGAGAGAGAGAGAGAGAGAAAGGGAGGGAGGGAGAGAGGGAGGGAGGGAGGGAGGGAGAGAGGGAGAGAGAGGGAAGGGGGGGGGTGAGAGGCTGCCGTTGCCCCAGGGGCCTTGGATGGGATTGCTGGGGAAGGCGGGGCCCTCACCTCTTTAACACCAGTTATTTAACCTGTCTCGGGGCCACACAGTCCGCGCTCCCGGCGGGTCCCGGTTCGGAGGCGGTCCGCCCCCGGGTCCTCCCGCGGAACCTTGGTTAGCCCGGCTCTGTCCCGAGGCCGCCGGGGCGCACGGCTGACTCCTCGGATTTCCCCGGGGCTCCCCACCCTTCTCCGAGGCCGAGCTCGCCGGGAAGGGCGCTCCCGCCTGTCTCCCCTCACGCTGCCGTCGCGGGCGAGGCTCGCGTTCCGTCGGTGCCGTCGGATCTGGGTCGTTTCCCGGTGCGTCTCACCCTCCGGGCTCCCAGCCCGAGGCCTCCCAGGCGGCGGGGAGGCCGGGTGGAGCCCGCCTCAGCCGCGGGGGCTGCGGGGCGCTGCGATCCGGGCCCCGTCCGCGCGCCCGGCGCGGGGCGAGGCCGCGGGCGGGGTCGGGGCGGCCGGGGCGCAGCGCCCGCGCCAGGCGGGCACCGGGCGGAAGTGCGCCCGGCTTCCCGCCGCCCGGCAGCCGCGGCTCGGTGCCCGTCCGTCCGGGGACCAGTGCTACGGAGACGCCCTGAAACTCGGTGGCTCGGGAGTTCAGTTCCGCGGGGCGCCGGGCCCGCCCCGACGTGCACCTGCGCGGGGCCCCCGCCCCGCCCCGCCCCGCCCGGGCCCGGGACGCGCGCGGCAGGGGCGCCGCCTGAGCCTCGGCGGCCCCCGCGCCCCGCACGTCTCAAAGTACGTTTTCGAGGGGGTCGGGCCCGCGGGGCCCGCTCACCGCCCCCGGGCGCGGCCCTCCCCGGGACGCGGCCCTCCCCGCGCAGCTGTCGCCGCCGCTCGCGGGCTCCTTTCACTTTCTCACGGCCAAGTCACCCGGAGGGGCGCCGCGGCCGCCAGGGCCGCCGCCACTGCCGCGCCCGCAGGCCCCGCCCCGCGCTGCCGCAGCCCCGCCCATCCCTAGAGTCGACCCCTGTGATTGGCCTGCGCGGGCGACAGCTCCGGATCGCCTCTCCCATTGGTCGGTCTCCTCTGTCAGTTCCGCTCTTGCCCGCCGTCCCCTCCGCCCTCCCGGAACGCTGCCCTCCTATTGGAAGAGTCTGCGGCCCGGGGGCGGGCGGGGAGCGGGTCCCGCCGCTCGGGGTCCGCCGCAGACGCCCCGCGCGGGCGGGGGCGCGGAGGAGAGGGGCGGGCCGGGGAACATCTGGCCGGCGCCGCCGCGTGCGTGCGTGGTGCGTCCCCCGCCCCTCCGGCCCCCGCCCCGCCCCCCGGCCGGCGGCCCCGCGCCCGCTCCCGCCCGCTCCTGTGTCTGGCAGGCTGCGGCCGCCGCTGGGCTGCTGCCATGGGGAGCCGTTGAGCGAGGGGCCCTCTCCGCTCCGCCGCGCGCCTCCGGCTGCCAGCGGGGGTGGGTGGGAGGGAGGGCGGGCGGGGGAGCGGGCGGCGGAGCCGGGCGCGGGGGGCGGGGGGCGGGGGGCCCGCGGAGGAGGAAGCCCACCAAGTCCGGCGGCGGCGGCGGCGGCCGGGTGGCGGCGGCGGCGGCGGCCGGGCGGCGGCGGCGGCGGCGGCGGCGGAGGACGCGCGGCGGCGGGGACGCGGGGACTTCGGGCCGCTCCGTGTGAGTCCCGGCGCCGGCCCCGGCCCCTGACCCCGCGCCCTGCGGGCCCCGCGGGCGGAGGCGCCAGCTGTGCGGCCGGCCGGGCGGGCGGGCGGCCGGGCCGGGCGCCCCCGCGAGCGGAGTTAGTTTGCGGGGTCGGAGCTGTCGGGGCGGCGCAGCTGCGGGAGGCCGGGGCGCGGGGACGGGCGCCGCCGCAGCTGCGGGGTCGGGCGGGTGCGGGCGCCGGGCCCCCTCCCCCGGCCGGTGCAGCTGCGGCGCGGGGCGGGCGCGGGCCGGTGCAGCTGCGGCGGCGCCTCCCGGGTGCGGAGGGCGGGCGGGCGGGGGAGGGCGCGGGCCGCCGCAGCTGCGGAGGCGCCCGGGACGGCCGCGGCTCCAGGGACCGGTGCAGCTGCGGCGGCGCCCGGGGAGGGGCGCGGGGCCGCCGCCTCCCCCCGCGGCCGCTTCTTGCGACTTTTCTTTTGTTGTTGCCGTGACCCGGGTGTTTCCGCGGCCGAGCGGGGAGGTGTTTCCCCGCGGCCCCGCGCCCGCGCTGCGCCGCCGGCCCGGGCCTCCGGCGGCCCCGCTCCCCGGCGCGACGCGCGCGGGGCTGCGCGACCCCCCGGCCCCCGCGCGGCGGGCGGGGCGGGCCCGCAGGGGCGGGCGCGGGGATGAGCGTCCGGGCGGCGGCGCGGGGCGACGCGGGCCCCGGCGCGGCCGGCTGGGAACGCGACTCCTGGGGGCGCCCGGCGCGGCGCCCTTCCCCGCCAAGTTGGAGAAAGTTGGGCCCGCGACTCGGGGAGGCGGGGGCGGCCGGGCCCGGCGCGGCGCGGGCGACGCGGTGCCCAGGTCTCCGGGTGAGAGGGCCGGGGCCGGGCCGGGCGCCGCAGGCCCCGCCGCGGAGGTGCACGGCGGCGTGCGCGGGGCTCCGGCCGGCCCGGCCCCGGTCCCTACCCGGGCCCCGGCCCGCCAACTCGCGGGAAAGTTCCCCAACTCGCGGGCCCGCCCCCCCCAGGCGTCCCCGAGGCCGCGAACCCCGCGGGGCCGCCCTCCGAGCGGGGCGCGGCGGAGGCCAGGCGGGCGGCCGGGCCCCGCGGCCGGTGAGCTCGTCTCGCCGGACCCGGGCACTTGCCAGGATGTCAGAAAGCGCCGCGGCCGCGGGCTGATCCCGCGCGTGGACGTGCGCCGGGGGCGGGGGGGGGGGGCGGGCGCGGGAGCGGCTCCCCCCCGCCTCGGACACCGGGACACTGTCCCCGCGGGGGCGGCGTGGACGCGGGCCCGGGGTGTCGGTTGGGCGGTTTGAGGACCCCCCCGGCCGCCCCGGCGCCCGGGTGGATTTCCGGGACGGCCCCGGGCTGTCGGCGGGGAGGCCGCGGTGCCATAAATACAGAGAAGTCCATATGCTGGCTTCCAGCGCCGGCGTTGGAAAGTTTGGGGGAAGGAAGACTTTGAAGTATTCTGTTTATACTAACAGCAGAGAAAAGTTCTCCTAAGAAAGAGCGGGTGGCAGGAGTGGAGAGGAGTAGCATATGGCATTAAAAGGAGCACAGCTGGAGGTAGCATTTCCATCTGAGCATGATGTCAGAGCAGCTGACAGCCTGCCACCCCTCAGCCTTTTATTCTAACACACAGACAGGGAGCTAGTGTGTGCGGATCTGTGGCGGAGAAGGTATCGCCTTCCTCTCCAACATCCTCTCCACTTTGCATCTGTCTCCTTAGTCTGCTTGTTCCCACCGATGTCACAGACCTGGAGCCAGCGAGACCCCGAGGAGAGGACCTAGGCAAGGGTGCGCGTCCTCGAGGTAGGCGCCGCGGACCCGCGCGGGCAGGCTCGCTCCCCCGGCTCCCTCGGTGTTTTATCTTTATTTTTTATTTTTTTTTGAGAAGTCACCTTGCCTTTCTAATCCAGTTCAGGACTCGTTTGCGGAACTTAGTGAGTGGCGGTCTTCCTGGAGTTGAAGGTCTTGGCTTACTTAGTTTTCATTTTTGCCCCTTTTCTTTGAGCAAGTAAATTAATTCACAGATATTTCAAGTTTGGGGCTGTTAAGAAAGGCTTTGAAATGCAGCTTTTTGAAATCACTTTGGATTAAAATGCTTTTTTGTTGTTCACTGCTGTTTAGATTCCTTTTGTTGGGGTGGGGGGGAGAATGTAGAATGGTAAACTGTCTGGAATCCAGCATTCAGATTGATATGAGAAGATGATTCCAGTTAAGAAACGAGGTGGTTGTGTAATGAATTCCACTGTGAAACTTTATTCTTCAGAACAGTCAGTAGCACTGCTGAAACATACAGCTGGAGTGCTTTTGAAACCCGAGGTTTCTTAAGGGGGAAAAAAACAAAACAAAAAGAACTTTTGTCCCTAGGAGAATAGTTTGACTAGTTTCCTCATTTTCCTCTTTCAGATATATATTTAAGAGATCTTTTATTTCAGCATAACAATAATTATTTGCAGGAGTTTTTGTGTTAGCGACTAATTTAGAACTTGTAGATGTGAGCTGCCTGAATTGGCCAGACAGCTGTAATCGCACTCCCCCATTCTTAATCTCTTTATCTGGTAGCAGCTGCCATATGGCCACTGTCAGCTGCATCAGATGTTTATAAGCTTCCTTCTCTGTCCCTCTGTCCTCTCAGCCTCCTAATTTGATCACGGCTACCTTGTGAGCTGCCCTCCAATCTTTATTTTTAGCCCTCTCAAGGATTAGGATTGATGTTAGCTGTGGGGCACTTAAAGTGATTGTATTGTAGATCTTGGTGTATTCTAGCAGTGGCATCGTGCAGGATCTATTTGGGGTCGGGATGAAAGTTTTAGGCAAAGTGTAGAAGGGGAAGGGAAGTAATTTCTGAGTATGAACTTCACACACCTTCCTGGGGGAATGCCCTTGTGAGGTGGTCTCCAGAGGGGTAGTAGGGCTCTGTCTATCTTTGTAAGGGCTCTGCCCACGGTCACATCTTTGTCTTTCCTGGCCAGAAAGCCAGCAGGGCAGAGCAGCTCAGTTGAGACCATGGAAGCAGTGGGAAAGGGAGAGTATAGCCCGTTGTGTTGAAACAAAGTATTTTCTGCTGGTGAGGTAAGGCACAGCCAGGAAAAAAAGTTTCTTTTCTAGAAAGAGGTTTTTTGTTGTTGTTGTTGTTTTCCTGTCTCTAAATGTTGAACCTGTACAAGTTTTGTCATTCAGTAGAGAAGTATGGCTTTATTTTTTTTAAGTGTGAGTTAATAGGAGACTTGCCTTGTAGCGATCAAGTTTAGATGAGGATTTTGAGAGTTGGGTGAAGCCCCTCTCATTGCTCATACTGTGCAAGTGCGGAGCATACAAAGAAATAGAAGCTTTCTTTTTACCCTCTCAATTCATTAAAAAAAAAAAAGACTTTGGGTTTGTTCAGACTAAGGATGATCTTTTCCATCTGTTGGTGTCGTTCTTCTGCTCTCCTGCACGTGAGCCATACCTGCAGATCTCAGCACTAACATCTGTTTTTATACACAGGGCTCTTGTTGTTGTAACACTCTGACTTTAAAAGTAAGTTGTTTGCTGATTTCTGGTCTAATTATGCAATTTCTTTTTTTTTCCTGATTCAGCCAAATGTGTACATATTTAAACTGCTCTCCAAGTAAAGACAGGCATCCAAAGTAACAAAGCAAGTTTTTCTTTAATCTTTCAGAAGATATCTGGGACTTTGCTTTGTTATACAAATTGCTCCTTTTGAAATTAAGCCTATCTACAGGTTTTATTTGGATATAATTTGATGAGCAGAGATGGCTAAATTTCTCCCGAAAGATCTGAGCTCTCATTCTGTAAGAGGCTGTGATTAGGTGGAAGCTTTCAAAACTTGAGAAGTTTGGGGAGGAGGAGAGGCTGCTTGGTGGGGAGGAGGCCGTTTCCTTGCGCTTAGGTCTTGTGTGTGTGTGTGTGATTTGCTGTCCTTGGGGTGTGAACCACAGCCGGACTGGAGCTGAGCTGAGCAGTGGTGTGGTGGTGGTGATTATTTTAGATGGGGACTGGAGGGAGGGCGGGAGGGAGGGCTGCGGTGTGCTTCGAGCAGGCTCTAATGAGAAGCTCTTCTCTTCCCAGGTTATGAAGACAGCATGGAGTTTCCAGACCACAGTAGGCATCTGCTGCAGTGTCTGAGCGAGCAGCGGCACCAGGGCTTCCTCTGCGACTGCACGGTGCTGGTGGGGGATGCCCAGTTCCGAGCACACCGCGCCGTGCTCGCCTCGTGCAGCATGTACTTCCACCTCTTCTACAAGGACCAGCTGGACAAAAGGGACATTGTTCATCTGAACAGCGACATTGTCACAGCCCCCGCTTTCGCGCTCCTGCTTGAATTCATGTACGAAGGGAAACTCCAGTTCAAAGACTTGCCCATCGAAGACGTGCTAGCCGCCGCCAGCTATCTGCACATGTACGACATTGTCAAAGTCTGCAAGAAGAAGCTGAAAGAGAAAGCCACCACTGAGGCGGACAGCACCAAGAAGGAAGAAGACGCCTCGAGTTGCTCGGACAAAGTGGAGAGTCTGTCGGATGGCAGCAGCCACATGGCGGGCGACCTGCCCAGCGACGAGGATGAGGGCGAGGAGGAGAAGCTGCACCTCCTGCCCAGCAAGCGGGACTTGGCGGCCGAGCCCGGGAACATGTGGATGCGATTGCCGTCGGACGCCGCAGGCCTGGCCCAGGCCGGCGCCGAGGCCGAGCCGCACGCCACGGCAGCTGCGAAAACAGTGGCCAGCCCCTGCAGCTCCACAGAGTCTTTGTCCCAGAGGTCTGTCACCTCCGTGAGGGATTCGGCAGATGTTGACTGTGTGCTGGACCTGTCTGTCAAGTCCAGCCTCTCGGGAGTTGACAATCTGAACAGCTCTTATTTCTCTTCACAGGACGTGCTGAGAAGCAGCCTGGTGCAGGTGAAGGTGGAGAAAGAGGCGTCCTGTGATGAGGGTGATGTTGGCACTAATGACTATGACATGGAACATGGCACTGTGAAAGACAGTGCGGGCGCCAACCACAGGGTACCGTACGAGCCGGCGCACCTGGCCCCGCTGCGGGAGGACTCGGTGCTGCGGGAGCTGGACCGCGAGGACAAGGCCAGCGACGACGAGATGATGACCCCCGAGAGCGAGCGCGCCCCCGGGGAGGGCGGCGTGGAGGGCGGCCTGCTGCCCTACGTCTCCAACATCCTCAGCCCTGCGGGCCAGATCTTCATGTGCCCGCTGTGCAACAAGGTCTTCCCCAGCCCGCACATCCTGCAGATCCACCTGAGCACACACTTCCGGGAGCAGGACGGGCTCCGCAGCAAGCCCGCCGCCGATGTGAACGTGCCCACGTGCTCGCTGTGCGGGAAGACCTTCTCCTGCATGTACACGCTCAAGCGCCACGAGAGGACGCACTCGGGGGAGAAGCCCTACACCTGCACCCAGTGCGGCAAGAGCTTCCAGTACTCGCACAACCTGAGCCGCCACGCCGTGGTGCACACGCGCGAGAAGCCGCACGCCTGCAAGTGGTGCGAGCGCAGGTTCACGCAGTCCGGGGACCTGTACAGACACATCCGCAAGTTCCACTGCGAGCTGGTGAGCTCCTTGTCCGTCAAGAGCGAAGCGCTGAGCCTGCCCACCGTCAGAGACTGGACCTTAGAGGACAGCTCCCAAGAACTTTGGAAATAATTATATATATATATATATATATATATAAGTTATATATATATATATATATATATATATATACATATATATACATAGATTCTATATAGTTGTGGTACGGTCTAAAAGCAGTCTTGTTTCCTGGAACTAAGAAGTTGGGATCTTAACTTGTTTTTGCACTTTAGAATAATAGCATGAGAATCTCACTAATTTAGCATTCTGATAAAAGAAACTTTAGAGCAAGTTGGAGAATAGAGGGGTGTCTTTTCCTTTGAGGGGTAGGCAGGGAAGCTACCGAGAACCTTCTAGCAGATGGCCCTGTCACAAGACGCTCTTATGGGGCTGAACTTTGTCCACACCGTATTGTCCATTTTTTTTGGTGTGTTTGCCCCATATTTTTCTGGGTTTTTGTTGTTTTTGTTTTTGTTTTTTAAAGTAGAAAGAAATCCCCTCCAGTTTTATTAGCCTCTTCCTATGTCTCAAATTGCATGAATCTTTTCTGGCTGTTGGAAACCTGAATGCTTTTAGACCCAAATGGAAAATTTCTGAAATGCTGGATTATCTATTTTTAAACAAGCAGTTGACTTAAAACTTTCTGTGGCAACTTCTGGTTTTCAGACGGTTCCCCGTGCGGGGTAATCTGCAAGTACACTGGGGTCCCTGGGACACTGTCTTTGTGAAGGTTTGCTTGGGATGAAAAGGATATTGCAGCTTCAGCAGTGTTGAAGTGTGTGTTTAAAAATGTGAATTACTGTTCTTGTATACTGTAATTGATTACATGGGCTGGGGGGGGGTCAAAGAACTTGACAGGTTGTGTTGATGCTCTTAGTTGAGTCTTGAAAAGTAAATATTAACGCTACAGAAATGCATGAGTTTCAATATATTTTTTGTCTTTGTTTGCATTGTATAACTTTAATGAGTGAGTTTAAAATTATTTAATTTCCTTAGAAAAATAGCACCATTTGGAAAGAAAACTGGTGTTATGAAGAACGCAAATGCACTGTTTTTATTTTTATTTTATATAATTTAAATTGACTTCCCACTGTCTTTAAGTTGAAACTGTTAAGCTGAATAAAAATTTAAGCTGCAAATTTGATAACTTCGCTACTTAACAAGGAACATATAAATGTTTACAAACGGCTTAAAGATTTGCATGAGCAGTGTGCGCTTAGAACAAACTCCTGATTGCACAGGACCTACGCCAGCTCAGAGTTTAGATGTACACAATTACCCAGTTGAGCGTTCTTAGAATACTACTGCACAAATTGACAATAGGTCATTTCTCTCTCTTTCTCTCTCTCTCTTTCTTTTTGTGCTCCTTTTCTTTTTCTCCTCTTCTTCCTTACCCTCCCTACCCTCCCTCCTCCTCCCCTCCTCCCCCCCACCCCAAACTCATGAAAAGATTCTATGGACTGAAAAAAGCCCCAGGCTGAAAGGACTGGACTCCCTTGATTGACGGGCAGGGGTGAGAGTATGAGCTGCAGCTCCGGCTGCGGCCCACGTGTGGCTTGAGTGACCTGCACGCTGGGCGAGAGCGTTTTGCACAGTGTTTGTTTTCCTGTCTTGCACTTACAAATATGGTCTATGGAGTAGCATGGAAAACATTTGCTGTTTTTCCCCTTTTTTTTAATTGCTTTTGTTTAAAATTTGATCGCCTTAACTACTGTAAACATAGCCTATTTTTGTGCTTAAGATACTGAATGGAAAACTCCATTGTGTGTTGCTGGACTGTTTTGGAAATATTTGGTCAAATGTGTGTTAATTTGGCTGTGATGGCATTTAAAGCAAACAACAACAACAAAGCTGTGAAAATGGCCTTGGAGCATTATCTTTAGTTACTTGAAGAGTTTCTAGTTTTTTTTAATACAGTTTATGTTAAAATAATTTTTATTAATTTAGAAAAGACAATCAATGTCTGTGAGAAAGCGGACTTTCTTTGGGATTTTCTTTTGTGGTCATGGTGAGCAATTGCTTTTTCCTGTACTTAGGTTCACATTCTTTCTCTGTTCTAAAACTTAGACTGACATCTAGCCTTGACAATCATAGTATGTTTTATTTTCCTGAGGGGGGAATAACTTATAATGCTGTTTAGTTTTGTACTATTGGTGTGTTGGTGAATTTTTAAACTGTGTGCTAACTGCAATAAATTATATGAACCGACGCTCTCCCTCCTGTGTGCTGTTTGTTACCATCATGAGTTGCGTAGATGCTAAGGAGGTATGGTATGCGACATCTTTATTTTCATGTCAGTTCTATTCAGACTTCATGAAATGAATAGAATGCCTTCGGTCACCCAAATTGGAAATGTCCAAACATTCTAGTCACTTAAGATACTAACGTGCACATTAAAAAAAAATGACCCATGCTGGAGCGGAGGAATCAAGCAGGCCGAAGTGATGTCTTAGAAACCTGTGAGTCCAATGCTCCTGAGGCAGTATGGGTTCTCATGCCACCGCGCAAGCACTAACTCGTGCGCTGTACCCTCCTCTCACGTGTCATTTATCCCAAGTTGATTGAGCCAACCTGTTCTCCTGTGTTCCAGTTAAAGTGGAACGTTGGAAGAGACCTGACTCCTGGAAGAGTGCTTGGCTAATGAGTGGTATTCTAGGCAATCGGATTGACAGGCTTTCCGTCGCTCAAGGGGAGCGAGGTCTACGCGTGCCTCCTGTTACTGGGAGAATGGGAAGGCTGGAGGATCCCAGGTTTAAAATTTCCTCTCTGTAATTTTAAAGTGTACTTATTTGGCTACTGCACCAATTAAGAGAATTCTATTCCCTCTTCATTACCATCCCAACTCGGAGCCGGTGGGTTTTGTGTCAGCCCGAGGCGGGATGCTGACTGCACAGGAGCAATGCCGTCCACCTGAAGTCCTCACACATACTCCCAGCTGGAGAGCCGGGCAGCTGGCCTGAGAGGTCTTAGAAAACCCTGACATCTCTAGCTGTCCATAACTCGCAACCTAACGACACCGAAAATAGTAGTTTTATGTTCTGTAGATATCAATGCACCCTTAGATAAAATGGCTTGTAGTAAGCTTAAGACTGCAGAGCAGAAAATGAGACCTGGAGCTTGAGAAGAACGCATTGTCTGTAAACTCGGTATTATCATACATAAAGCACAATTGGAATTTTACAATTTGAAGTCTTGCATTTCCTTTTTAATTGAAAAAAAGGGATATGCAGCTCAACTTGATTTTAATCAGCCAGACATTCCAAGTGCGTGGCCATTGGGCTCCACAAAACTTTCTGAGCACTTACTAGCTGACAGAGAGGACCCCTCTGTACTTCTGTAAGTCAAGTCTTTGCCAGAGCTCAGATGTCGAGAGTTCACTTGCATCACCTAGTTCACCGACAGTCTACCTTGACATAAGCCTCCCCTCGGAAGCTACACTGGATGGACTCAGACAAACTATTTTTGACATGCTATTTGGAAATAGCTTAAAACATTACAAAACTAAGACAATTAAGTTTACAAATTGCCACATATTTGAAAAGTGAGATTCAGGAATCAGTCATTTGTTACACTGAAGAAAGAGAAGTTGTCACTGAGTCATGTTGGGAACCATTAGCAGTGATTCTTGCCGTTGACATCTGGCTCATCCATAAGTATATGTTAGAGATGTGGTCTCATCTTTGAACACATCTGCTTCTTTGAGATAATCAATTAGGTCCTGCTCCCAGCATTGTGGCTAGGTGTATCCTGGAAGACATACCAGAAAGAAAATATTAAGGATGTTGGTTTGGTTTTTTTTATTATTATTATTATTATGCTATTAAATTAACAGGTAAATCAAGTAGAGTTAATAGACTTGTCATGAACATCTACAAACAGGTTTTGGGAGAGTTAGAAAAAGGTGAACACTGTATTAAGATTGTATAATAGTTCATATCAAAATGACTGAATTACTCATTTTTTCCAAAGAAGTATTTTGTTTTGAACTTTCTTCAAAGAAAATAGTTGCGTTTTTTTTTTAATCCAAAAGGTAGCTTTCCTTAAAAAAAAAAAATCTTGAACTTTCAAATTGTAAAGATAAAACATACACAAAAAAGATATTCAACACTTAAGAAATCCTGTTTTATCAGATAAGAATTTTGTGAAGTTCTTACAGTCTCCCAGTGCTATGGTTTGCTGCCCTATTCCTATAAAATTTCATATATTCTTTGAAACTTGTGCACGCCAGGGTAGGAAAGTCAGGTAATTTCCTATTTTAATTGTAGATACTGATAAGAATGTTATGATTATTTGTTAGGATGTTTGAAATTGCTGGTAAGGAACACAAGTGTACATTTTAAAATACTGGACAGAAAAGCTTCATTCTTTTAATTAAAGATTTTTACTACTGAAATGTTACAGATTATATCACCTTTAAAAATAAAGCAATAGTTTTATTTTTTTTTTAAGTAAATAACTCTTAGGAATTTCATTTTGGCTAGAGTCCAAGTTTATTACACTGCCGGGATTTTGTCCCTTCTGTTAAAATCTCTCTACCTTTTGCCTACAAGAAACACAGCAAAGTATCTCCGTATGCCATCCTTTGGTGTAAACATTTAATTCATTTTCACCCTTCTACCCTGGCTTATTTTTTTTTAATATTATAAATGGATAACAAAGCAGTCAGCTCTTACTGGTGACACGAGAGGTTTTAGAAATAGTCATTCATTTTCATATGCTTTAGAAGTTAAATTTCAGGGGTTTGGGGTGTTGGTTTTTTTTGTTTTTTGTTTTTTTGGTTGGTTGTTTGGTTTTTCGCAACCCAACTGTTTAAGGAAGAATCCTCTCTAATTAACTTTCATAATTTCTTGTGGAGGAAGCTGCTCAGCGCAGCGAGGGGGGGGGGGGTGCGGAGGGGTGGGCCTAAAGCTTTTTCTTCTTCAATCCAAATAACGTATATCTGCCTTTGCCCCATCCAGTGACTTCATGCTCCCAATAAGCTAGACACACAAGATAGTTTCTCCTAAAGTATTTATGCCCTTGAATGAAATCAGCAAATTTTTTGTGGGGGGAGAGGGATGAATTATCCAGTTACCTTTCTCAGTTCTATTCCAATACTAATTTACTGTCCATCCCCATTCTAAGTGTTATATGAGCATAATGCATAACACTCCAAGGTGTCTCCTTTCCTCATCTTTAGGAATTGGGCACAGCTGAACTTGCCTTTGGCAGAAGAGGAACGGAGCCCAATCTGGCTTTAAAGCGTAGCTCATTTAGTCAGGAACAGAGGCTGCGTGGCAGCCCAGACATCCATTCCCGGACATGGCTGCTTTCAGTTCATTATGATCTCCGTAGTTAATCATTAAATCAAGTGGCTTTTATGAAGCATATTAGGCATGCTTAATATCAATAAAGGAATTTTTAAATGTCATGGTGCCCTAAATATTTAGTAAAAAATGTATTTGTAGCTAGTGTGAAGTGGAATGTGGAAGAATGTATTTGAAAACTAGTAAATGTATAGGATAGATGAAATTTGTTGTTTAAATGCACAGTGCATATGTAATGATATTGAACTTGGAAAAATCACATAACCTTAGTTATGCTGGAACTAAAGAGAATTTATCTTGCCTGGTGCCCGTGGCTCACATCTATAATCCTAGCTATTCAGGAGACTGATATCTGAGGATCACGGTTCAAAGCCAGCCAGGGCAGGAAAGTCTGCAAGTCTCTTGTCTCCAATTAACCACCAAAAAGCTAGGAGTAAAGCTGTGGCTCAAGTGGTAGAGTACTAGTCTTGAGCAAAAGAAGCTCAGGGACAGAACCTAGGTCCTGAGTTCAAGCCCAAGTACTGGCACAGAATTAAAAAATATGCCTTAATTACATATGATTTATAAGTATATGTTATTTAAAGTCATTTAAAAGACTTTATTCATTTATTTCATTTAAAAGCCATAACTGCACTAGCAATTCACTTTATTTCTGAGAGAATTATTAAAGACTCTAACATTTTTATATGGCTATTGCTCGAAATGATTGTTGATCAAGTAAGAATATTCAGGCTTTTCATCTGGATGTCCTAAATTTTTTTTCAAAAGGGATTCAAAATATACATAGACCTTTTCTTTGTTTCACATACATGAACTGCTGGGCAATCATGAACTGTCACTTGCAGGGTTTCTAGGTAGACAGCAATGCCACTTAAGAAGGCCTATTTGGACAAGTTTTGGGAAAATCTAGTAATACAATAATAGATCATTAAAATATTGAAAGTAAATATTCATGGTTTATGAACCATAGCAACCAGAGAAGTTAGTACATCTATTTATATTTAGTGTTAAAAATCAACGTTTTTTTCCCTTATAACAGTTTCTCTGTCACTTAACATCGTCACCAAATAGAAGAAATTTGAGCATAAAGCTATATCCCAAGAAAATGTAATTTGTATAGTTATTTCTGTGACTACCTGGCTTCGAGCTAGAGGGTCTCGTGTCCCAGCATGTGATAGGAGGAGGAGCAATCCATGTTTAGATTGAAAACATCATCATTGTGTGTGAGCCTCAAGTGTAACATTTGTTTGGGGATGGCTACAAAATCCTCCAGATTCTGCAATTGCCTAAACCAAGAGAGACCCGAGTCTGGCAGATGGAATATTCCTTTAGGTTCTGATTTTTGTTGAGACTCAAAACTCAAATTCCTGTTTTGTAGTCTGCTCTCGAGTGCATCCTTTTATTTACTAGAAGAGGGTAAATTGTATGCACCGAGTGATTTTGACACCCCACATACAACTGAGTTTTCCAGCCAAGTTGTTTTTGTATCTTTCCACCATTTTGAGAGAAAAAGGAAACAAATTTAAAATGATAAAGCACATTTCTTATTGGCCCTATTTACTACCTTCCAGATGAGCGAGCTTGCACCATCCTAGATGGAGACCCAGCTGCCCAGGAGAGGAGCCTCAGCCTTTCTGGGCCTCCTTACAACACAACGTTTAGACATGGGTGTAAACATCAGGCTCAGGAGGGAAGATGAGAGACTATGTTGGGACGTAGAGAAGTTTGGCTTTTCGTGGTGAATGTGAAGTCTTGATCGTGGGGTGGCTGCTCATATTCTATTGATGTTATTTTACTCGGGGCTGCCTCAAAGCAGTACCTGAAGTGCTCCTGTGGGAAAGGCAGAAGGTTGGAGCTGTGGTCACCCTTTGTTCACTCTGCTTGGTAAAGGTGCCCATCTTGCAGTAAAACACAATGCGTTAGCCACGATACGCCAGGCGGGCTGTAGGTTTGCTCCGCATGTCAGGATTTTCAGTGATTGAAGTGTTTCTGTTTAAAAGTCGGTCAAACAACACCCTGGAAGAAGGAGGAAGTTGGCCATCACATTGTTATTTTTATTTACACATACATATATACAGCCTATTTATTTATTTACACATATACTCTGTAAATAAAAAATGAATAGGTGTGTGTATATATATATCCTAAATAATATAAGTATCATAAACAGAAAAAAAACAAGCTTAATAATCTGCATCTCAAATTTGAAACGTTGTATTCTGGACTGATTGCCTTTGATATAATGAATGAATTTAATATTTTTATTCAAATGAGAAAAATTCCTGATGTGACAGCAGGGGAGGAGGTGTCTGATAGTCTCCCCGTGTGAGACACCGATGTGAAAAATCACACTTCACACTTTGAGACTGAGAAAGGGCTGCGGTGGCTCGGGGCACATCTCCCCTCCACGGCCTTGGCCCAGAGTTGGCACATTCCTCAGGTCTCTAGCCGTGGAGAGATGTAGTTTGCCGGTGGGAGGTGCAGGAAGGTCAAAGTCCGTGAGCTGGGCACTCTTTGAGCAGGTTGGAATCTGGAGCTGACTTTGTGTTGTGCCTCCGATGAAATCTGCATCATGCAACTGTATATTCACCACCGCCACACGCACTATTGTCTGCTCCACACACTCACCACGAGAATGGAAGATTGACAGGATGCTATTTCCTTCCCCAGCGTTGGCCCTGCAGACTCTGTAACAAATGTCTCTGCTGGTGGCAGAGTCGTCCAGGCCTCTCTCCTCTGGTGCATGCAGAAGGAAAGCTGGCTGGATTCTGTGACTCGCTCTCCCATGCCCTCCCAGCCCCCAAAGGGTTGCTTGGGTCTCGAAAACGTGGTTTGTGCAATCCCCGAGAGGCTCCCTGCTCCCAAAACCGCAGGGCAGCGGACACACGAGGCGGAGAAGAAACACAACCCAGGAGAGCCGACCTCCGCCCTGGCTTTCCTGCAGATGCAGGGGAATCGAACACGTTTCCACCTAATCTGAAAATCGGCCTTGGCGTGGTGGGACGTTTCTCAGCTCCAAGGAAAGGTGGGGGAGGGGGGGCATATCCAGGCAACTCCAGAAGAGCCCCACCCTTCCTCCCGCTCTGCTGCACACTTACGCCCAAATCACTTCTTCAAGTGACAAGGAAAAGTGTGGTGTAGTAACACTATTATAACCATTTTGTACCAAAGTGAAAGCCTTCCCTAGGACAAGCCCCACCCCACAAAGAAAGATTGTCTTAAGTACATTTTTATCATTTAAATTGATTGAGCCTAATAGTTTTAACTTTATCTCAGTGTCAAGCACTCCTTGATAAAAAGTGATTTCTGTATGCAATGTAAACATTAAAGTAGCCTACTAATTAAAAAAAAAAATCCCAACTGCCATGTGGTCAGGTGGATTTGCACGCATGTGCAAACCTTAGAGAAAAGATCACATTTTTAGTTGCTTTTTGACAAATCTCTCAAAGCTCTTTTCTGATTCTTCTGATGCGGAAAAAGAAAAAAAAAAGCTAAGTTGGACACAGGCATTTTTTTCTCCTCCCTCTGAACGCTAAGAATCAAGACGGAAAGTTTTGGTCCTGTTTACTGGCGTAGTGCAAGTAGAAAAGCAGCATGGCCCATGGATGTAAGATGACGGCAGCCAGGTGCACCTCCAGAGAAGCCCACGGATTGAAATGATTTACCTGGAGCCGTGAACGACCTGCTCCCACCTCACCCGGAGAAGGAGGTGCTGCCGTGGCAGGGCTTAGGGCATCTCGGTGCCTGGCCTCTTGTTGGGTCTGTGCCCTTGGGGTGCTGCTAGACCAGCATTGTGGTGCCACGCACATCTGTGCAAATGAACCCACGAGGGGAAAGACACACCTGGGAGAGTCCACAGAGCCGTGGGCTTATCAGGACGCTGAGCAAATGTGACTCGGGGCAGAGTGATGACCGGCTTTTTCACCTGTGAAAGCCACGCTCTGCCTGCCTGGCTGCGGGAGAGCCAGTCAGGGTCTGCGACAGCTCTTTGGGGGGACGCCACGGCACAAAAGCATTCGGGCCTCGCTCACCTACTTTCCTTCCCTTCTTCCTTCCCTCTATCACGACACAAATCTTTTAATTTTATAATTGCCATCAGTTTTTCTTTGAAAAGGCAATGACTGCAATAATACATGTTTGACCAAAAAAAAAGTTCTTTTGGTTGCTATGTTTAATAGTTTTGTAGAAAGAAGTTTAAAGAAACCAACAAGAACCATAAAACAAACAAAAATGCGCCCCCCCTTAAAAAAAACTCCCACAAACTTCCCTCTGCTTGGTGCCACAGACAAGAGTCCAAAGGACATTAGCTGCTCCGTTGCACACGCTGGAAGGGAGAGTTTGCTTTGAGCCGGGCCCTTCTAATAGACTGGCAATTCTGTGCAAGGTTTAGAGGATTTTGTTTAACCATTTCTGCATGTGTTTTTAATGAGTGCACGATGGTTGGTAACAAAGGCCAGGTTGTGCGTTTTGTAGCCCTCTCCGCCCGGTCCTCCCCCACCGCCGACCTGCAGAGTGGGCACCTGCGTTCCTGGCCTGGCCCACCTATGGGAGCCGGGCTGGAGAAGCCATCTCCGGCCTGTCCGCTTGCCAGGCATGAATCATGCAGTAGGCAGAGCGGAAGGAGTCTCTTTGTTGACAGCTCTCCATCTGGACTTTGGATACGGCCGATCATTCACGTAGAGCCTTGGTGAGCTGGAAGAAGGGGCAGCTTCCGTACAGGACCAGCAGGGGTAAAACATCCGCAAGGAGCTGCCCGGGGCATCCCTGGAGCTCAGAGAGGCTCGGCCGGGCCGCTGCGTGTGTGTGGCACCCGTCTCAAGAAGCCCTGCATAGTCAGTAGGATCATCTACAGCCCCATTCAGGTAATCCGGCTGGAGGATACTTGAATAAACACATCTAGCTCAGGTGGCTAAAAACTAACTCCCTCTGAGATGAATAATTAAAATAAAACAGCCACTACAGTGAATTTCGGTTTGTCATGTATGAATGTAAGAAGTTCCATGAAGGATGGGCATTTGTGCTTCACACAGAATTATGATGGCTATGTGATAGAGTTTTTTTTTTTTTCCACAGCTATTTAAGAAAAAAGCCCAGAAAGTTAGGCATGGGAGAAGCTTATGTGATAGATAGTGCACCATTCTGAGTCTGGACCACTGCAGATTTTTCTTTGCTATTCTATTCTTTTTTTTTTTCTGAAAGATTACTTCTTGGCAAACTAGATATGCAAACGCCAGAATACAGTAAAACCACATTTAATTGGACCTACTTGCCAACTTCTTGAACACAGCTTGGATTATTTCACTGGAGACTGCTTCTGTTCAAAGCTGGGGGAGGAGGAAGTGGCATATTGACAAAGGCCCCCGATCAGTTTTTTTCCCTCTCCACTCGAAGTACAATTATGCAATGAGCCAAGTTTGGAAGTATTTTACTATGTTTAATAATTATTATTAAAGATATTGTAAAACATATGCATTTGTTAAGTGGAATGTAATGGGAGTAGAAATCATGTCATAAATTTTACTTTGGATTTATTTTCCTATTTTGTGTTTTATTTGACAGCCTTCCAAATTGATACTAGCCCAAACCGTGCACTCTACTACATAGCATCCTTGATATCAGAGTGACAGTACGGAGTTTATAGAACCTGGGAGACAGTCCTGGTCTCCTCCTAGCCAGCCTCGGATGGACTGCTGTCTCCGTACAGGGAGCGAATGATGCAGCAAGCCTCCAAGGTAGTGAAATGGGGAATGCAGGAGAATCCTTCATAGGCTCCCACGCCTGGTCTCCCTAGCTTGCCTACTGTTCAAAAGACCCAGGGCAGAGAGAGCAATGGCTAGCTCCCTGGGTGTGAGCCTGGCAGCGGACTCCTCTCTGCGGCTGACAAGTGGGGTTCACTGTCAAGCCGCAGCAGGGCTGGCCAGCCCTGTGGCTCAGGTGATGCTAAGTCATCTTGTACCTCCCCCCCCCCCCCAAAGCTGACAGCAGTTCCTTGCACCTCTTGAGCTTAAACAAATTAATACTATCTTTACAGTGCCCCCTACCGAGTGCAAGGCTGGAGCCCAGGGCCTGTGCAAGCATGGCTACCTCTGCCCACTGTGTCCTTTATTATTTACACTGTGTTATTATTATTGTTATTGTCATTATTATTAAGTAGTGGTACAGAGGTTACAATTCCACCAGGCAGGTTCCAATGTCTTTTTTTCAGGAGGGAAATTGCCCCCCACGCCCGCCCACTTTTCTTGGAATGGAACAAAGGTGCCACCTCTAATGATTAGCAAGGCGCTCCGGGTTGTTTGTGCTGAATTCCACCTGCTCTGTGAAATCCCCAGGATTTTCTCACATTCCCACTCAAGCTGCCGAGCATTTGGGGACCCTGTTCCAAGTGTGGCTGTGTCTGTGTGGCTTCTGTGTGCCCTGTCATTCATTGTCTCCTCCTGGCCTGCCACACACACGCTAGCGCGTGTGCACACACACACACACACACACACCCAAAGCCGAGGGGGCGGGGCGGAGGCTGGCAGGTGACAGGTGGGCCGGCCCCGCCCCCGGCCCCTGTGCTGCCTGGAATCCTCCCTGCTTCTGCACTGCGTGTCTGGGGTGAGCTCCCGTGGAGCTCCTGGGGCTCAGGCCGGCCCTGCACGCGGACTGCAGCAGTGCAAGCCTGTGTGTGCAGAGGGGACCTGAGGACATCTGGACCGCGTCCCTGCTCGCTCGCTCGCCGCTCGCTCACAGGGCTCCTGCTGCAGGCGCTGAAAGCTCTGCTGCACCAACCCCCAGAGCCTGGAACTTTCTCCCTGGAGAACTTGGAGGAGCCGGGGCCCTTGGTTCTTTTTAGACGCTGGCAGCCTGGCTGCGGGCAGGGAGAGTGGGCCGGAGGAGCTGGCCCCAGCCCCCGCCGCTCGCCAGCTGTGCCATCTTGAACAAATGACTTCGTGGTCTCATCTTGAAAATAAACCTTTTGGGCCAAAGGGTTCTGAGATTCTGGCCTGCTCCCCCCGGCCCCCCCATTTTGTTTTTTTTTTTCTTTTTCTTTTTTTACCTGTTTAACTGAAGTGCTGATCGATCTTGAACAAGGACATCTTTTCCAATAAGAACACACATGGTGACTAACGCACTCCCCAGGGCAGACAAGCCAGGCCTGGGCAGGGCGGCCAGCGCTTCCGCCAGCCTGTGGGGTTCCAATACTCCGCTGTTCCTCCTGCACCTGCTAGCCGTGCGCCCAGCACACACGTGCTCAGCTGAGGCCATGTGGCCAAGCCCAGTGAGTTCTGTGCTAAGTTTTATGTTTTCATTGGAGATGCTGAATAAATAAGAAGAGGTGAGGCTTGCCCCGCACGCCCGGCGCTTCTGCAAAGGGGTTTTCTGTCCAGGTTCTTCCGTCAGTTTTGTTTGGACAGCTCCCAGCCGTCTTCCAGGAAAGTGCCGTGTGCACAACAAGGCTAATTCTGATCATTTGCACAGGTACCAGCGCCTCAGAGTCCGTTGCTGTGGAGCAGCTCACGGGACAGATGTATCCAAAGGGAGGGCCTGCGAGTTAGGCCCAGCGTCAAAAAGAGAACGCAGCGTGCTTGCGGATGAGAAGACCACATCGTCTGTGACCCTCATAAGAATCCATGATGCTCCCTGTCAGTCTGGCCACTGACCTAGTCAGTCCCTGCATTTCTGGAATGTTCTTAATCTACTCCAAGATGGAGGAACACTCTACCAGCATATTTGTGTAAAACCAGCCCAAGAATTCGATTAGATTAATTTGTGCAGAAACCTAATTCAAATAGTTTTATTGTGTGTGCCCATGTGTGCACATGTGTACATGTGTGTGCCTGTGTGTGTATGTGTGTGTTAATGCCGGGGCTTGAACTCAGGGTTGGCTCCTGTCCCTTTGTTTAATTTGCTCTACCACTTGAGCCACACCTCCACTTCTGGCTTTTTCTTGGTGAGTGGGAGATAGGAGTCTCCCAGGCTCTCCTGCCCTGTGCTCAGGAGTAGCCAGGATTACAGGAGTGAGCCACCAGACCTGGCTTCACTTCCATTTGATCTTTTTTTCCGTCAAGCCCCAAAGTGAAATGGTTTTGAGGGCTTTATAATTTGCATGCGAGTGAGGCTGAAATAGGACTACAATCTCGTATTAGTTAAAATTCTTTTTGCTTGCGAAAAAGAAAGAGAAATCCAACTTAAGCTAGTTTAAGCCAAAAAAGAATTCTTATCGTAGGCTACTTGGATTCAATGGAATCCAAAAGAGGAATATGGCAGGGCCTCAGGAGCCGCTGGGACGGGGCGCTCCGAGGCTGCCGGGGCTCGCTCTCCTCCCCTCGGCCCGGAGTCTCTTTCGGTGATTGGCATTTTCCCTTCCTCAGCCCACATGGTGCAACGGGGCTGCCAACTGCTTCTGCATCCACATGTCTTCATTTTCAGACACCCAGAGAGACACTGACTTCTTGTCAGTTACAGGGCCCAAGTCCTGAGGGAGGCTCTGATTGGCCACTTTGGATCAGGTGCCCAGCTCTCGACCAATGGCCGAGGCCCAAGGCGAGGCCCGTTGTGCCAACAGGCAGGCTCCTGCGGTGCCATATGCACGTGGAGGGCTGTGTATTCAAGGGGCCAGGGCAGGGAGCCATTCCCAGAAATGAGGCTGGTGCAGAGCGAGCAAAACAATAGGGGGCCCATTATGCTTCTAGACTGAATTTGAAGGCAAGCAATGAGCAAATACTATTGATTTGGAAGTGAGAAGAATATATTCTCCCCCGTGAGCTCACAGCAGTTAACGCCTAATTCACGGTCAAGTGATGAAGTGTGTTTAGGCCAAGTGATTAGGTGTGAGTTGTTTTTTAAGTACTGTGGAATCTAAATTAATTTCTGCTTTGAGTTAGCTCGCGTGCACGCCCTCCCTTGCCTTTGATAACCCTGGAGCGCATCCACGGACATTTTTCCTCAAGTCCTGGCCTAGTTCTCCCTGTCGACAGTTTGGAACTCCGCTGTGCTGCGTTCCTGGAGGGTGGGACAGTGGGTGAGCCCGCAGCAGAACAAAGAAGGCAGGATTTCCTTCCTCCTCCTCGGGTGCTGCGTGGAGGTTCTGCATTCGCAGCAGGTGCTCTACCCAAAGCCTCGGGGACCCGTGCAGGCCCAGTGTGAGAAGCTAGGGGTGCTCGTGTTCTTGAACAAATGGGCTCTATGAGTCTGAGCACCAGTGACCATCAATCAGAGCAGAAAGAAGCTGCCTAGCATATAAAAACCCCTCCCTGTGCTCCTGGCCACAGCTGGAAAAGGACTCTGCCCCATTCCCCAGGGAGGAGAGGCTGAGCCCCAGGGAGACCGCGCCCAGAGCCACACAGGTTGTTGGAAATGGTGGCTTCGGGCCATTTGGATGTAAGGCTGCTCAGTCCTCAGGAACACCAGATCCTCTGGCTAAAGATGCAAACCAAGACACTGGAAGAAGCCCCGGAGTAGTTTGGGTCTCAAGGTCAAGTGGATAAGCATTGGTGGAGGCATCACAAATCCTGGTGCTCAAATCCTGGCCACTGGTGCTCAAATGACGCGGTGTGGAAAGTAGGCACAAGGCAGACGCGTGAAGGATGCTGTCTCTTTTCCAGCCTCTGCCACCTTCTCCTCCACCTGGCCGCCCCGTGGGCGGGGCTCCGATCTCCACCCAGCTGTGCACTCATTCACCACAGCGCAAATCCTCACTCCCGCTGGGAAGAGCCGGAGGATGACTGGCCCAGCAGAGGAAGCCTTGTCTCTGCTAGGACCCTTGAAAACGGACTCAGACTAGCTTGGGAAAAGGCAGAGAGTGTATTAAGTCCTTCACCCGGGAGTCCAGAAGTGATGGTGGGGGGGGGCAGATTTAGGGGCTTAGATGCTGTTCATTCTCTCACGCTCTTTCCCCTTGCCACTCCATTTTCTTGGGTTTGAATCCATATTTCATGGGGGTGGGGGGAGGAGGGGGTGGGGGGGAATTGGACATGGACCAATATCACCACATCCCAGCTGGTACGCCTAGAGGAAGATGATGACAGCATCTAGACATAGACAAAATTCTAAGAAAAGAACTTTCTAGAAAAGCCTAGACAATATGTCTTCCTTAAGGTCCTCCTGGGGACCTGAAAACCACGCCTGAGCAAATGTGCTTTAACTCAAGCTTCCTAGAGGTGGCAGGAAAACTAGAACGTTCTGAGGGGCTGAAGATGAGATTATTGGTCCAGGAAGCCAGGGACGGCCTCTGCTTCTTGGTCTGTGTTCTGGGGGGAGGGGGGGATGGGATGCAGCTGAGTTGCAGTGGTTGGATGGACACAGTGCCGTCTCTGCCCCCTCAGAACGAACAGACCAGTGGACCAGCAACGGAACAATTTAACAGCAACAAAAACTGGCAGCGGAATGTCCTGAGTGTTACAGGGTTGGCGATTCTGGCTGAGAGTCTTTAAGGAGCGGGAAGATGGGGCCACCGTGCAGCCGGGGCCCATGGAGAAGCCAGGGACCCCGGGGGGGGGGGCGGGCACGGAGACCAGGCAGCCTGGAGCTGCGTCCTGTCCCGTTCTGCCTCCTAGCTGTGGGGAGTGAGGATTACTTTCCAAGGCTGCTGGAACAAATGTCCACAGACACGATGCCTTAAAACGAGCCCCAAATGCAGGCGTTGGCACGGTGTCCCCGCTGCGGCCCACGGCCTTTGGGCTCCAGCCCCACGTGGACTCTGCGTGCCAGGCTCTATCTCCACGCCCCCCCCCCCCAGCTCCATGCACTCCTCTGAGGACACTTGCACTGGGCCCAGCGATGGTGCAGACGGATGGTGTGGAGCACACTTCGCATCTCAAGACCCTTGCTCAATCCCACCTGCAAAGACCCTTTGACCCTTTGACCTTGGCCCTCTTCGTGATGCGGGCGGGATGCGGCCTTGTCTGCGTCCAGTGCAGGAGGCCAGCTGTGGACGGAGCACTGGGCTGGCCCCGGGGGCCTGGACCTCTGTGGGGGAGCTGGGAGGGGGGCAGGGTGGACGGTGTGGCGGGAGATCATGGCGTGGCCCAGGTCTGGGAGTGGGAGCCGGGCTGAGTAGCACTGGAGCCCCCGGGGCAGCCCTGGGAGACGGGGTGAATGATGTTTTGGGGGGTTCAAAACCCATGGTTTGCAGGGAAATGGGTGGACCTAGAACAAGTCATGCTAAAGGAGTTAAGCCAAGCTCGGAAACGAACGGCACGTGTTTGTGTCTATATGGAAGCGGGGACGTGGTCAATTCCACAGGACGCTAGGCTCACACGCGGCGGCCGCACGGATGCGGCGCGGGAGGAGCCGAGCGCGCAGGGCCTCCGCCTCGGCTGATCATGCAAAGTAGTAGCTATTGAAATGAACGCCAGGAAATGGCCACAAGCTTTTTCTTTGTGATTGTTTTTGTTTTCTTTTGGTCTTGTTTATCTGTCTTTGGGAGCAGGTGTGGGGGCACCCACAAGTGCTCCATGTTTCCCTGAGGTTCAGCTGTGCCTTCCTCCTCCTCCCCCTCCCTCTCCTCCTCTCCCTCCTCCCTCTCCTCCCCTCCTCCTCCTCCCACATTTGCTTGTGGACAGCTGCCCCACCCCACCTGCTGCCCACAGAGAACCCTGTCCACTGTCCCAGAACCTTCAGGAAGCAAGTCTCTCCCTTGTGACTCCTAAGTGGCACAGGCTGGAAAAGCAAATCGCTGGGAAAGGCATGGGCTCAGCACCCAAGACCTGAGGTGCTATCCGGCCAAATCCTGCTGCCTCAGCCTCCTCCTCCCGCCTGAGTGCGTCCCAGGGCCGGGGCCCGTCCCAGGACCAGGGTCTGGCCAGCAGCTTGGGGAGCAACAAGCCGAGCACTGCTGTACCCCTCCTTGCCAAGCAGGCTACTGCATCAGAGGTGCCCGCCGGCCCCCGCAGCACGCAGCAGGGCGGGGAGCTGGGGAGAGGCGCTGGGCCCTGCCATCAGGCATGGCAGGTCGGGGCCACCTCTCAAGCAGCACAGCCCTCCTGCGCACAGCCTGTAGCGCTCCTCCCGTCTCCCCCGCCCACCCCTGCGCACAGCTCTGAGTTTGGTGAGCTGCAGGCAGATGGAAATTGAGTTTATTTCTGCGGATGTGTGAGGCCGTGAGCTATGGGGCTTTTCTATTCTTTCTGTTGTTGGGACTAGGGTTTAAACAAGAGGGGCGGGGGGCCAGGCACGTGTTAGGCAGGTCCCCTACTGCTGAGCCATGCCTCCAGCACATTTTTGTGCTGTTTATTTTTGTGATGCTCCTGGTTTTTCACTTCGCACTGTAGCTGGGATGACAGGACTGTCACTACGCCCAACTGCTTCTGAGATGGGCCCTCACAGACTCTCCTGGCCAGCCTGGCCTCGAACTTTAACCGGCTCCCGCTTGTACCATTGATCACTGATCACATAGCAACACCAAGTCTGCTCCACACAGACGGGGCCCATCTAAATGAAATATCCAGACCAGAGCACTCCTCACAGAGGCCAAGGCCGGGCGGGGGAGGAGGAGCTGGTGCGCAGGGGCGGGGCGGGGCGGGGCGGGGCTTGCTAGTGAGGTGTGGAGAAGAGACACCCACCCTGAACGCATTAACTGTCACTGGGGCTACATTTAATTTTTTTTGTGTTTCTTTCCCACAAGAATGGTTTCCTTCAAGGAGAGAAAGGAAAAAGCTATTTCCAGGGCCACTGAACATTTTGGAAGCTCTTGTTAAGATAAAATGAAATCTCTCAGGATGCAATCAAAGCTCAGCC